CTTCTTACAGTCCCAAGCAACCAGCCTAGTACAGAACACAAACAACTAGTACTTTGAGCTATATTTATCCAGATGTAATCACATCCGCACTAATAAAATTTGTCTTTAATATACATCGTTTAAATTTCAATGTACTCTCATAAACTTTTTACACCAGAGGAATTTTTTTTAAAAAAAATATTTACAGTAGAAAAAAGAGCCATACAAATATTGAAGGAAAAACATATCAGTGTCGTCTCTAAACTACTCAGAGGTATGAAGTCACCCAAGTCCACCCAAGAAGTGTTTGATTGAGTTTCCAGGAAGATCCTTGTGTGAGCGTTTCACATCCAAAGTCCTCCTGGCCAGGACAAGGTCAGATGCTGGTGCTGCTGGACTGGAGCTTCAGGCTGTTGGAAGTTGTGCACTGCATGGAATTTGACCTGCGAGACTGCAGCACTTTGGCCAGGTACCAAAGGAAGATGAGGAAGCCTGCAGAAACAGGAGGAGATCACAAGTGTTAAGCAGTTCCTGGAAGGAAGGTGAGGAATTCGGACACACGGATAGAACTGCCGTGTAATGTAGTACTATAGGAATAACTTTGAGGAACAGGAGGAAGAGCTGCAGCCAAGGCAACAGATAGATAAAAGAAATTTGAGTACTGAGTAGAAATGTAATCTGTGAAAGCATCTTAGACAGGAACCTCCGTAGTTCACATTAAAAAAGAGGGAGGTGGAAGTGTAATCAGACTTGCAAGTTTTTGTTATTATCACTTTATAATAAAAATAAATAGAATAATACAGCTGGAGAAACAGGAAAAGATTATAGATGTTAAGCAATTCCTGGAAGGGAGCGAGAAATCCGGACACACGGATAGAACTGCCGTGTAATGTAGTACTGAAGGGATAACCTTGAGGAACAGGAGGAAGAGCTGCAGCCAAGGCAACAGATAGATAAAAGAAATGTGAGTCCTGGGCAGAAATGTAATCTGAGAAAGCATCTCAGAGCAGGAACTTCTCTAGTTCACATTTTAAAAAAAGGTGGAAGTGTAATCGGACTCACAAGATTTTATTACTCTAACCTTATAATAAAAGTAGACAATACACAAAGCATAATAGTTGGAAGGGAGCTTAGAAATAGTCTAATCCAATGTTCTGCTCAAGCAGGTGACCCGTACATCATCCTGACAAACGGCTGTACAATCTTTTCTCCACAACCTCCGGAGGTAAGATGTTCCACTGGTTAATTGTTCTCACTGTCAGGAAACCTCTTCTTAGTTCTAGGTTGCTTCTTTCCTTCATAAGTTTCCATCCATTGTTTCTTTAGGTGCTTTGAAGAATAGGTTGATCCCCCTTCTTTGTGGAAGAATATTGGAAGACAATCAAGTCACCTCAGCCCTTCTCTTCATTAGATTAGATATGCCCAGTTCCTGCAACTGTCCTTCATATACTTTAACCTCCAGTGCGACAGTTGGTCTTCTCTGCATTCTTTTTAGGGTCTCAGCAATTTTTTTTTTGTATAGGTTTCTTAATTTTGGTTTCCCTTGAAAGGTTGACATGCAGCAGTGTTGAAGCCTTTTCACCATCAGATCTCTCGGTTGCAGATGGTCAATGGTGTAGAAGGACTGGAATTCAGAGGTGAAACACATTCTTTGCATTGGCCACCCCAGTATAAAAAAGATGTTGAGACTCTAGAAAGAGCGCAGAGAAGAGCAACCAGGATGATGAGGGGACTGGATGCTAAAACATATGAAGAACAGTTGCAGGAACTGGGCATGGCTGGTCTAGGGAAGAGAAGGACCAAGGGAGACAGGAGAGCAGTCTTCCAATATTTGAGGGGCTGTGACAAAAAAGGGAAGTTGACTTATTTTCCAAAGCACCCAAAGGCCAGACAAGGAATAATGGATGGAAACTGATCAAGGAGAGATTCAACCTGGAAATAAGGAAAACAATTCTGACAGGGAGAACAATCAACCAGTGGAACAGAAGTTGCCTTCAGAAGTTGTGGGAGCTTCATCACTGGAGGCGTTCAAGAAGAGACTGGGCTGCCATCTGTCAAAAATGGTGTAGGGTCTCCTGCTTGGGCAGGGGGTTGGACTGGATGACCTACAAAGTTTCTTCCAACTCTGTTAATCTGTCAGTAGAGAGCCATGAAGCATCTGTGTTTGAAACCTAGTTGAAAAATTGCTTATCCCGGGTCAACCTTCCTACCAAGGATCACATGCCCTCTGGCTAATCACTTTAGGGTTTTAGGGTGGGCAGAACTGAAGCATGAATGGATGGACCTTGAGCCAAAAGTGAGCAGAGACTCCTGTCCTATTTCTGACAACCTAACCCAGGGATCTCCAAACTTGGCCACTTTGAGACTTGTGGACTTCAACTCTCAGCAATTCCCAAGTCCGCAAGTCTCCAAGTTGCCAAGTTTGGACACCTCTGCCTAACCCTAGTGTCTAACCTTAACCCTAGACTTTGAGATAAGGTTTGGCTTGAAGTTACTTAGAACTGAGTGACAAGAGTTCCTGTTCTTCCTGTCCTGTTCAGGGGTGCTTGACAAGGAAACCTCCGCCTAACTTCAGGCTTTAGTCAACCACAAGGCACTTCCGGTTGACCCTTTTTAATTCTACTCCATTTTCTTCTGCAGGTCCTTCTCTACAGTCTCTTGCAACTCTTTTGACTTCCCTGCCCAGCAAGGCAAGGTGAGGACACTGGTCACTTTTCATTCACAACAGTCTGGCCTTGAAAGAGAAGTTCTTCATTCAGAGAAACCAGAGCTACGTAGCATGGAAACCACATTTCCAAGGCTCTGATAGTGACATGGTTAGATGATTAAAGGCCTGGAGACTAAAACGTATGAAGAACGGTCGCAGGATTTGGGTCTGGCTAGTCTAGAGAAAAGAAGGACGGGGGGTGGGGGCCATGATAGCAGTCTTCCAGTATTTGAGGGGCTGCCACAAAGAAGAGCGGGTCAATTTATTTTCCAAAAGGCAAGAGAAGAAAGGATGGATGGAAATTAATCAAGGAGAGAAGCAACCTGGAATTGAGGAGAAACTTTCTAACAGGGAGGACAATTAACCAGGGGAACAGTTTTGCCTTCAGAAATCATGAGCGCTTCATCCCTGGATGTTTTTAAAGAAGAGACTGGACAGGCACTTGTCTGAAATGGTAGGGGGTCTCCTGCTTGAGCAGGGGGTTGGACTAGAAGACCTCCAAGGTCCCTTCCAGCTCTATTCTGATTGATTGCTTGACATCCTTTAATTGCCAATCATCTCACACCACTAGAATTGCACCTTTGCTGGGAAGTAATTTAACAACTGCTAAGTGGTTCACTTAACAATTGTGGCAAGAAAGATCGTAAAATGGGGCAAAATTCACTTAACAAATGTTTCTCTTAACAACAGAAATTTTGGGCCCAATTGTGGTCATAAGCTGAGGACTACCTGTATTGTTTGCTTGGGTATAAAATGCCTAACTAAAAAAAAAAAATGAGGGCAGAGATTTGTTGTGCTATCTTAGATGTGTGAATACAAATCTACCCACCATCTGCAATTAGATCAGTGTTTTTCAACCATGTTGAGAATTCTGGGCATTGGAGTCCACATCTCTCAAAGTTGCCAAGATTTGAATCGTAGGGTCAAAAGGGATTTTGGAGGTCTTCTAGTCCAACCCCCTTGCTCAAGGCAGGAAGCCTTATTGCATCTCAGACAAAGTAGAAACACTGAATTAGATTGGGCTGAAAAGTTGCATCTTATGGTTGTGGAGACCTTCATATTATATAACATGCAAGTTCAGATGAAGCCCAAAAGTAGGAGATGAGAAGCAGTCACTACCCTGTGACCTTGAAAAGACCTTGATGACGGTGCAAAGGCAAACCATAAGTTCCTTGTGGTTCATCCCATCCTCTTAGGATCTGCTTCATAAGCTCAGATTGAAGTGAAAAGATGAAATCACCGAGCCAAAATGCAACTCTCTCTTGTGTTGCATGAAAATCCAGAGGACGAAAACTGATAAAAGGGGCAGATCTCAAGACTAAAAGGAGCAGGAATACTCACTGACCTTGGAGAGAGTTGATGATGGTGAACAGATAGACGGCCACCAGCTTGAACGTCCCAGAAGCGAATGCAAAGAAGACCAGCCCCCAGGGAATGCCCAGGACGCAGCTCAGGCCCAGGAGCATCACCACATATTCCCAGTGATGCTCTCGATGTCTCAGCTTGAGAATCTCATACACCATGGTGGCCAGCATGATGCTGTTGAAGAAAAGCACCAGGCTTAAATAGCCCAAATTCAGGAAATTGTTGATCTCCTTTTTGGTGATCCAACAGCTGGAGAAAAAAAAGGAGAAAAAAACAGAAAGGTAAGTCGGTGTATTATGTATTAAGTATGTAAAAATTAAAAAGTTGAAACTGTACTGCTATTGTTTTATTCTGTGTTTTTAAAAAGTTGGAAGTCAATTCTTTTCTTTCTTTTTTCCCTTTACCCTTCAAGATGAATGTTGTAGGAGAACTAACTCTGCTTTTATAAGTGAAGAAAAGTATTCTGAGTTTTTCCATACAATTCTGAGTTGGACAGAAGAATAGAAGCTTTATGTATCATTAATGAAATAATTGGTTGTTACTATAAAAGAAACCAACTTTATCAATTATAGAGTCTCGTATTTAAAGATAGGTTTTTAAACATCATAGAGATAACATGAAGATAATTACAATAGAACCCTCTTTTATGATTTTATATTCATTCATACTATTGGTTTGTGAATTGATTATTGCAATACACACACACACACACACACACACACACACAAAGCTGGAAGGCGCATGAAAACTGGAATATGAGCATTCAAATAGGCTGAGAATGTTTCTTTGAGCTAACACTTTCCCCCAAAACAGGAATTTCCAGGACGCTCCAGGGCCAGTCATAAATGTGATGCATCCCACCCACTTTGTAGCCTCTGCTCATTCCAATTCCCTTGTTCTCCAAGAAACTGGATTGATGGAAATGATGTTATAGCAATACCTGGCTACAAGTGTTTTTATAATGAGCCCCAAGGGACCAAAAGATGGCCCATGCTAAGCGAGGGCTGAATGACCCTGGTCACGACACATGTTTTGACTGCATCATTTGACTGCACGAGTCAAAAAGGGGGCTGTGAAAATACTTACAGATCCCTCACATCCTGGACATAAACTATTTCAACTCCTTCCCTCAAAACGACGCTATAGAGTACTGCACACCAGAAAAACTAGACACAAGAAGACAATTTTTTACAGAAGACAATTTTTTACAGAAGACAATGTTGAAAAAGCACTACGCAATCTAAAACCATCTCTATCTATTGGACCAGATGGAATATGTGCCTACTTCTTTAAAAAGCTATCCACTGCCATAGCAGAACCTCTAAGCATAATCTTTGAAAAATCTTTCAGGACCAGCTCCTTGCCAAAACTATGGTCACAAGCCACGATCATCCCCATCTTTAAAAAGGGAGACCCCAGCCTAGTTGAAAATTACAGACCAATCTCCAAATGCTGCGTCACCTGTAAAGTCATGGAATCAATTATTAACCAATCCATTATTCTCCACTTAGAGACAAACAACCTACTCTCCAATAAAAAATTTGGTTTCAGAAAAAAATTATCCTGTAATCTGCAACTCCTACACTGCAAAAACATATGGACTACACAACTCGATCAGGGCAAAACAATAGATGCAATCTACATAGACTTCTGTAAAGCCTTTGATTCAGTGGTACACAACAAACTACTCCTAAAACGAAAATCTTATGGTATCTCTGGACACCTGCTTAACTGGATAGAAGCATTCCTGTCAAACAGACAACAAATGGTCAAAATTGGGAGTGTCATATCAAATTCTGTACCTGTCAATAGTGGTGTCCCCCAAGGCAGTGTTCTAGGACCAACTCTCTTCATACTCTACATAAATGACCTCTGTGATCATATTAAGAGCAACTGCGTTCTTTTCGCTGATGATGTAAAGCTGTTCAATACCACAGACAATACTGCTACCCTTCAAAAAGACCTTGACTATGTATCAGAATGGTCAAAAAAATGGCAACTTCAAATCTCAACAAATAAATGCTCTGTCTTACATATTGGCAAAAAAAATCAGAAAATAAAATACAAGCTGAATAGTCAAGATCTTGTTGATGATCCAAGCTCTGTAAAGGACCTTGGAATACTCATCTCTAATGATCTAAGTGCTAGAGCCCACTGTAACTACATAGCCAAAAAGGCATTAAGAGTTGTTAACCTAATCCTACGTAGCTTTTTCTCTGGTAATATCACACTACTAACTAGAGCATACAAAACATTGGCTAGACCAATACTTGAATACAGCTGATCAGTCTGGAACCCACATTACGTATCTAATATTAGCACAGTTGAGAAAGTCCAGAAATATTTCACAAGAAGAGTTCTCCCCTCCTCTACTCGTTGCAGAATACGTTATGCCACCAGACTTGAAATTCTAGACCTAGAAAACCTAGAACTATGCTGCCTTCAGTCCAATCTAAGTATAGTATATAAGATCATACATTGCAATGTCCTACCTGCAAATGAATACTTCAGCTTCAACCATAGCAACACAAGAGCACACAATAGATACAAACTCAAGGTTAATCGCACCAAACTTGATTGCAGGAAATACGACTTCAGCAATAGAGTGGTCAATGTCTGGCATACTCTACCTGACTCTGTGGTTTCTTCCCCAAACCCCAAAAACTTTAACCTTAGACTGTCTACTATTGACCTTACCCCCTTCCTAAGAGGCCTGTAGGGGGTGTGCATAAGCGCACCAACGTGCCTACCGTCCCTGTGCAATTGGTTCTATATGTCCTATATGTACCCATTTCATGTATTCGTAACCTATTATACCTATTATCTTGTAAGCGATTGACAAATCAAATAAATAAATAAATAAAAAAACAAGGACTGTGTTTTCCCCCGAATGCCATCACTCTGCTAAACAAATAATTCCCTCAACACTGCCCAACTATTTACAAAGTCTGCATTACTATTACTATTAATCTTCTCATCACTCCTTATCACCCATCCACTCCCATTTGTGACTATATGACTGTAACTCTGTTGCTTGTATCCTTACGATTTATATGGACTGTTTCCTAGTATGATTTGATGGCTTATTTGTATCCTATGACTATTATTAAGTGTTGTGCCTTATGATTCTTGATGAATGTATCTTTTCTTTTTATGCACACTGATAGCGTATGCACCAAGACAACTTCCTTGTGTGTCTAATCACACTTGGCCAATAAACCAAAGTCAAAGAGAAGCCAGATTTATTTAGTTTAGTTTAATTTAGTTTACTGTCATTGCACCTTACAAAACAAAATTAAATACCATTTTCAGTGTACATCATGACTATTAAAATAAACACAAACACACATCCTTCACATTCTATGCATTAAATTGAAAACCCCTGATATTGCATTCATATTGCACTATTTACAGTGGAATTCAACAGAGCTCCTGCCCTGGGATAGAAGCTGTTTTTCAGCCTATTTGTCCTTGTTTTTATTATCCTGTACCGTCTGCCAGATGGTAATAGTTCAAAAAAAAAGGGTTCCCAGGATGAGATGGATCTTTGAGGATGTTTTGAACTTTCTTAAGGCAGCAGGAGCTCTAAAGCTCTTCCAAAGATGGGAAAGGGCAACCCATGATCCTCTGGGCAATGACCTTAACCCTCTGGAGTGCTGTCCTCTCTGCCCCTGTGCAATTGGCAAACCCTACACAGGTACAGTATGTTAAAATGCTCTCTATGGTGTAGCGGTAGAAGGTCACCAGCAGTTTTTCATTCAGTTGTTGTTTCCTGAGAAGCCTCAAGTTGTATAATCTCTGCTGGGCTCATTTGACCAGGGCTGCAATGTGAGCACCCCAAGTCAGGTCCTCTTTTATGATAACACCCAGAAACTTAAAACTGGCTACTTGCTCCACTAACAACCATTGCTACTCACTTAATTACTGCAATGATTCACTTAATAACTGGGGCAAGGAAAGTCGTAACATGGGGGAAAAACTCGCTTAACAAATGTCCCACTTAGCAGCAGAAAGTTTGGGCTCGGTTAGTCCTAAATCAAGGGGTACCAGTGTGAATTGTATCTCAGCTTCTGCAGCTGTTGATCCTCAAAGAGAAATGCACTTTTTTCATTGGACAGTAGGGGGCACCCTATTTCTACGCGCCAAGAACTTACATGGTTGAATTGGTGTATTCCCCTGCAGCCTGGTAGATCTTAAAAGAGGTACGGCCATAGTGGGATTGGTCGATCACAAAAATGAGACACACAATGAATATGGGAAGACCTGCAGAAGAAAACAGACCACATTAGTGCTTCTTCTATATTGCTCAAATGGAAGGTTTTGCGTTTTCCATGGATTTTAAACTATTTCCATACTGTGCAGCGTATACTTCGCTCCTAGTCTCTTCCCAAGGGATGCACTGAATAAAGAAATATCCAATTAAGAAAAGAAACAGAGAATTTAGAATTAGAGCCAAGTGAAAATTTGCAACATAATCTGAGAATTGGGGAGGACATTGTAGACGGAGAGCCGTTTTATTCTAGCAAACAAAACAAAACAGCTTTTCTGAAGAGCAAAAACAAATAATTCCCTCAACACTGATTTTACAAAGTCTGCACTACTATTACTATTAATCTTCTCATCACTCCTTATTACCCATCCCCTCCCACTTGTGACTGTAACTTTGTCACTTGTATCCTTATGATTTATATGGACTGTTTCCTAGTATGATTTGATTGCTTATTGTGCCCTATGACTATTATTAAGTGTGGTACCTTATGATTCTTGATTCTTGATAAATGTATCTTTTCTTTTATGTACACTGAGAGCATTTGCACCAAAGACAAATTCCTTGTGTGTCCGATCACACTTGGCCAAGAAAGAATTCTATTCTATTCTAATTAAAAGGGCTTTTTATTTAAAAAATGCTAATTAAATGATGCGATATAATCAAACTTGTTCATCAAAAAAGAACAATTCATTCTGATAATAAGGGAAGAGATTTTAAAAAGCATAACATTTTCTTAAGAACATGAACTCCAAGATATCTCTGGAGATTCTCAGTCATCCAGGTCATGGCTGTCCCAAAGGTGCTTTTTCAAGAGGCAAGTGGACCTTCTGGTTTTTATTTGAAGACATTTTACTTCTTATCCAAGAAGCTTCTTCAGCTCTGACAGTGTGATGACCCGGAGTATAGCACAAAGGCAACATAGTCAGATAATCAGGAGTCTCTTTATTAGCTCCAACTTTTCCCTCAATGTCCTGGTTACCTTCTGGCTGGAGAAAAAACTCACCAAGGAACAGCCTTTGGCTGCAGAGAATCAAGTCCAAAACATGGTCAACAAAAACTGGAACTATAAGTCCAATCAAGGCAAAATGAGGTAATTAGTCCAGTGGGTCAAGAGAAGGAATTTCAGACGTGAAGGCTAAGCAATAACTTCACATGGTTGGGAAAATGCCAGGAACACAGGTAAGCAAAGACAAACTCACATTTGCTCCCAGCATCTGCTGCACTCAGCTTGCATTTCTCTTAAACTCTCATTCCCAGGTGTGCCTAATGAAAGGAATCAGGGCCCTTTCCTCCCCTGTAAGTCACACAACCCATGTTGCTCCCTTATCCAGTCCTCCCTGCATGCCCTAGGATGAAGACAGGGTGGGCCTTGGTCTTCCTCTGAACCCCCCCTCCCTTGTTCTACCTCTCTCCTGCTCTGCCCAGCTGGACTTTGCCCTTCCCCAGGTTCCTCCATAGCCAACGGAGTCACACTCCCACTCCGTTAGCTGTTCGTCTTCCTCCTCGGAATCATACTCCAACAGGGGCATGACAGACAGGATGATGGAGTTGAAGAAGCTTCTTGGAGGAGAAGCGAAATCTTCAAAGAAAAACCAGAGAAAGTCCAGTTGCCTCCTGAAAAAGGAACCTTTGGAATGAAGTCCAAGAAAATTGAAAAATGTCTAACAGGTTACAATCAAACACGATGCCCTTTTTAAAAAGGCTGCTAAAATATGGTCCTTTTTTCCACCTTGTTCTTCTGTGTCTACATCTCAAGGGTTGGCTGTGAGAACCCAGCTCATCTAAAGCCACTTCCTGAATTCACAGCAGAAGCTAGACTGAAGCTTTGCATCTATCTTTCGTGGCTGTGCCCACCAACTTCTTCCTCTTGCTGTCTGCTTCAATTTTTAAAAAAAACTAGTCATAACCTTTGCGGTTCTAGATGGCTAGAGGTTTGTTTTGAGTGGTGCAGTTCAACCAGTTGGTGGGATTCAAATAATTTAACAACCGGTTCTCTGTCCTAATGATTTCTTCCAATAACCAGTTCGCCAAACTGCCCAGCAAGTTAACAACTGGTTCTCCTGAACTGGTGCAAACTGGCTGAATTCCCACCACTGGATTCAACCAGTGTAACAACCGGTTTGGTGATCGAGCATTTCGCACACATGCACACCATTCAAAAAAAGCCCATTTTCAGCTATAATGCTTCTACTGTAGCCCCAGTGAGTAAAACAGCTGAGGCATGGCAAAACCTCTCTACCACACGAATTAGCTGTGCTCCAAAACAAGGGAATAAAGCACAGGAAAGATCAGGGGCAGGTGGGCAGGGCCAAAAAATGCCACGAACTACCAGTTCACCCCAACCGGTCCAAACCGGTCAAATCCCACCCGTTTGTTCCCCCAAAGCTTCTGCCACTCACCCCAGCCAACCAAGCAGAGCTTGAGGAGCAAATGTTTGACATAGGAGTTGAAGACTTCGATCACCAGCCGGTAGAGACTGTAGCCCTCAATGGCCATCCAAGTCAAGCACGCAAGCACGCCAAAGTGCAGGAACATCCCGCCGGCTTTGCAAGCCATGTCCCCTCCGGTAGGAGCCAGGGGCACCGCGATGAGGAAGCTCATGTCGAGGAGAAAGATGCCCCAGAGGAGATTCATGTGGACATAGACAATGTGGTCTCTCTGCTTTTTCCTGAGAAGAAGAAAGAGCATTGTACTTCTTTTCTTGGTTGTAGGAAGCTCAGAGCTGCAGCTATGGGAAGTCTGTTGTAGGAAAGGCTTTCATTCCCAAAACTTTGTAGACAGCCAGCACCCACCCCACTTCTAGAAGAATGAAACTGTCCACTCATAAAATATTTCTCTAGTCTTTTTAGAGTTGCCAACGGAAAGGGAGGGGGAGCAGTGCAGAGCTTGCAAACCGAAACGGCATTCCATAAATGTTTTCAGAGATAGTAACTAGGTGACTGAAGTTTCTGCCATACAAAATTCTAACTGGAGAGCATGATCGATGACTCTTGGCTATGGATGTGTCCCATTGGAGAATATGAATTATGATACACCCAGGGGTGGGGGAAAAACCAGGGTCAAGGGTGACAATGAATGATGTGTCTCAGAGTCGGCTACACCCAGGTAGTGCCGGACATTTTAACTCCAATAAATCCTTTTCAAGTTTGGGAAGTTTGGCTCGAGACTCATGGTTTAAATGGGGGGGGGGGGGGTAACTGCCGGAATCCTGACAGAAATATTTTGAGGAATATTTTTAAAAAGGCAGTGTCAACTTGTAAAAACATTCCTATGCCGGCTTCCGAGTAGCCATCCTGAAGGAGCAGAGGGCAAATGAACATTCCAAGCTTATCTTATAGAGATTGCAATTGAGGCAACCGGGTATGCTGGGCGGAAAAATCCTCTATTGGAGAGCATGATTGATGACACCTAGCCCATGAATGTGTTCCATTGTTATGATACACCCAGAGGGGTGTGGGAACGCCGGGTCATAAGTGATTGTAAATTACGTATCTCAGACCCGGCTTCACACAGATCATGCTAGTATGTCGCTCCTAATAAAATCTTTGAAGTTTTTTGAAGTTTGGCCCGAGGCTCCTGATTTAATTGGGGTGATCGCTGGAATTCTGACAGGCAGAATGTTATATTTCCTAAAGGGAGAAATGAAGAACGTGCTTTTTTTAAAGCAACCCCCACTTTTGTTGTGGTTCGCCGACAGTTGGTGCAGACGACAGCAGAGTCGGACAGTGAGGAAGAAAGGGAACCAGTCTGGGAGTCTGAGGATGACTCGGGCGAGGGTCCTGTGTCTGATGCAGAGATGGGGCCAGGGCCATCTGGGAGTGGAGCCTTCGGAGCCCGGCAGCAGCGAGGCAGAGGAACAAGGGGAGCCTGTTCCCAGTGCGCATGTGTGCAGAGCTGCCAGAAGGCGAGAGCAGCTGAAGCAGAAGGGGTGACTCGGGAGTAAGGCTGGGAGGTGATTGCCCCTCCCATAAGGGATAAAAGTCAGACCTTAATGATGAAACCTTTGCAGGAAGCAAAGCAATTCAATAGATTCCGAGTCCTCCTTGAAGCTCTGCATATTCTGGTCAGTTTTTTTTCTGGTATTTCAAGTGGTTTCTGGATACTTCTGTTTTTGGCAACATTCCACAGCACTGAAAGGCATGTGCTTATCTTGGGGAACTGTTTATAATTAATTCTGGCTGGGAATGAAAGTAATTCCCAGCGTTGCAATAAAAGAGGTTTTTCTTTTAAAATATGTTTGTGTTTAAGTACGTTTGATGAAGCCTGGGTCAGAACAACTTTCTTTATAGCCCCAGCAGATATTTTGTGCCCCTAGGAAAGACTGGGCTAGGCTATCTACAAAACAAAAGACCTTCAGCTCCAGGATGATGGGATTATCCTTCAGGGCAAAGCCATTCTGCCACAATAGAGAAATTACCCAATACCCTCGCAGAACCCAAACCCCTTCATTGCATCACCCTCAAACTTCCACTAAACTTATCTCAGACAAACTTGTACATGGATTTGTACATGGCCCCATGGGAGTCTGACAACAGCCAATAGAATACATGTTCTTGCGCAGGAACAGGAAGCTCAAGTGCAAAGCTTAAGAGAAGGTATAAAAAAAACCCCACTCTCAACTCCGTGTGGTCAGCTGCCCAAAACCCATGTGGTTCTGCTTCATTAAAAGGCCTCCATGTTTCCAGTCTCTTTCTCCCAGCTTGGAACTGAACCAGATATGGATATTTCTTCCAACAACTTGATCCCTGAGTTTTCTAACCTGCCTCTGTCAGAGCTGCCATCCTTCACCCATTTCTATGCTTTGCTTAGGTGCCAGTCTGTCCTGCGTTATTGGCAGGGAAGATGTAGGGAAGGGGCCTCAAGCAAGACATGGGAAACCAGAAGGGATAGTTGTGGCATCTGGAGACACCTCAAGGCCGTGGTCCTGGGAACGGAATGTAGCACCTATCCATCTAACCAACTATGACAGGGATTCAATGGTGGGATTCACATTTTTTTACTACTGGTTCTGTGGATGTGGCTTGGTGGGCGTGGGGTGACTTGGTGGCCTTGATGAGCGTGGCGGGGGAAGGTTACTGCAAAATCCCCCTTCCCTCCCCATCCCCACTAACCTGCTTTCCAGCTCCATTCTCCTGTGCAGGGCAACCAAAGGAGACCCAGCCGATCAGCTGGGACTCAATGGGAGGCAGAAAAGAGATGGGGTTGGCGGGGCCACTCAGAGGTGGGATTGGCCGGTTCTCCGAAGCACTCAAAATTTCCGCTACCGGTTCTCCAGAACCTGTCAGAACCGGCTGAATACCACCTCTGGAGGGATTGTTACCAAAACAATCTTCTCTAAATGGGACTGGGCAATGAGGTGATCAGGACAGCTTGGGGGAGGGGGAAGTTAATCTAAGGATTTTCACACTCAAACTTTAATTCTGGCCTTGCATTGCTGTAACCACTTGGCTTTTAGTAAAAGGATTTTTTTTTCTCTGACAAATGGAGTCGAGAATGATTCTTTCCCTAAGGGACCAAGTTTGGCCCAGGTCCAGCAGCCTCTCTCCAGATGTTCTGCATGGAGTTCTGACATGCTGTTGGCCATGTTGGTTGAGGCTCATGGAAACTGAAGTCCAAAGAGCGTTGTAATTCTGTTCTTGGTTGTATGCCACTCCAAGCTGCAGTCACGAAAAATCTTAGAACCTGTTGTAGGAAAACGTTTGATCCCCCAAGGCCTGACTCCTGAGTGATCTAACCTGCTTCCCTCCAGATGTTCTGCAGGCCGTTCTCATAGTCCAGTGCTGTTAGCAGTTCTGGTTGGGGCTCAAGGAAACTGAGGTCCAAAAGACTGGACAGCCATAGGACATCGACCTCTGTCCATCTCAGAGAACATCCATCCTTCCAATGCACACAGACTCCCACCTCCCATAGACTTCTGTGTGGTCCCCCCTTCCCATTGTTACGTTGCATGAATTCCCCACTCCACACAACCTACTTTGAACAAAGGAAAAAGAAGATGGTGAATAACGAAGCCAGAGCCGAAATGATGCAACCGACGTATGTCACAATAGTCAGGTATTCGTAGTGGATATGGTCTATGTCTGGAGAAGAAACCTGCAGAAGGAAGGGAGGAAGGAAGTGGTTTATCAAGCGCAAGAGGTGAGAAAAGATCACAGAAATCTTTCAGTGATTCTACAGAAGAGTTCAGGACCTGCACCAGACTGTGTCAAATTACAACACCATCAGTGACTACGTTCCGCGGGATTGCCAGGAGTTGCACATGTTCCGCAACATATAAAAGGGCCCCCATTTTTTTTCCCCAACCTGCTCTGCAAGATACTCACTGTCATCATCTTATTTTAATGACCCCATAATCCCTTGTGGAGTGGAGTCTGGGCAACTGAATGGAGCTGAGCGTTTACTGGCCAGATGCCCTTCCTGCTGCCAATGCGGAGTTTCCCCCCCCCCCGCCCCCAGCAAATATAATCTCATTGTGCCCAGAGAGAGAAATATTTGCCTCTACCTAGGATCGAACTCACAGCTTCCTGATTACTGTGAAATCAGTAGCTGCAGTAGCTGCAAGAGACTCACCATGAGCACCGCAAAGAAGGTGAGATGGTCACAAAGGCAGGTTGTTTGGTGTTCCCCTTTCACCACTTCACACCCTGATGTGTTCCACTTGGCAGGGCGACTGGCTAAAATCGAACAGATTTTATTTCACAAATGATTCATCTTCTTGTGTCCGTGTGGGGATTCCAGACTAATTCCCCATTTGACTCCTCCCCCTGTCTCGGCCAATGTCTCTCCATCACCCACCTGGCTTTATGCCCAGGTCAGGACTAGAACTCACAATCTCCTCATTTCTAATCTTATCTATTACACACCAAACTGACTTTCCATATATCGGATTACTTGGAGCCTAATCTTTGTTAACGGCAGCTGCATTTTTCACGAATGAACAAGTGCAGAAATCACTGGAGGAGAAGTCCAGAGCAGCATTTCAAAACTTCACTTTCATACCCCGACTTCTTTCGACACTTACCCTTGGAGCCCACGTCCCAGAACACACATGTGGGAGTCAAATTCCTCTGAAATAAAACCAAAATCCAAATAGTTGAACACATCACATCATCATCCTCTTTTAATAACCCCATAATCCCTTGCAGGGTGCAATCTGGGCTACTGAATGGAGCTGAGTGTTTACTGGCCAGATGCCCTTCCTGTCACCAGTGCAGAATTTCTTTCAGCAGAGATATTCTCAGCGTTCCTAGAGAGAGAAATATCTGCCTCTACCTGGGATCAAACTCACAGCCTCCCGATTGTGAGGTGAGAGCTCCATCTCTAGGCCACCGCACCACTCAAATAGCAAACACAACACATCTCACAAGAAAAATACAGGGAAATGTGATTATTTATCTCTTGGGAGACCTATTTGTCTAAAATAATCGTTCAATTCCCTTTGAAAGCTGTCAAATGACTCTGGTATGTTTAGAAGAATTCACCACAAGCCACACACAACATAAAACATAAACAGCAGCCACAGAACTGAATCAATCTAAGCAAATAATAACTTACATCACCATCCTTAAGTTAACCCTCTAACTGCTGTGCCCAGGAACATACCTACATCTGAAGAGACTTCCAAAAAGTCAAATAGTTCTTGAATTACAACCTGTCATGCCCTTGTTAGAGTCGGACTCTGAGGGAGAGGAGGAACAGCTAACAGGGAGTGGAGGTGTGACTCCAGACGTTGTGAAGGAGGTTGGGGAAGGGCAGAGGCTGGTTGGGCAGTCAGAGGAGGACCCAGGCCCATCCCCTCTCCATCCTAGGGCATGCAGGGAAGAACGGAGAAGGAAACAACTTGGCTTATGAGAGAGGAAGCGGCCATGATCCCCCTCATTGGTTGCAGCTGGGAAGAATAGTATATAAGAGAGATGGTTAAAACACAGCATTGCCAGAAGCAAAGCGTGTTTTATTTTGGACTGAAGTTATCTTGGTTGGCATTCTTCCCACAGACTGTGCCATGTTATCTCCTTGAAGTTGGTAATTACTTATCCTGGTCCGTTGTGCAATTTCCTTCATTGTAGTTTGTTTGGGTTTTTTATTTCGCCTCTATCTGCTCATTAAGTTTGGACTGTATTGCTTTCTTTTGAAGACTATTTTTTGAATACATTTTATCTCCAACTGAGAATTATTGAACAGCAGGGCCAAGTTGGAGGCATTAAGGGACATTTATTTACATTTTGGATTTTGTTACTTTTATGTTACACTCCAGGTCATCACACTGCCATTCCTTTTGCAACTATTCAAAAATAGGCTGGCACTGAAAAAAAGTGACTTACGACAATTGGTCCTTGCACTTACAAATCTCATAGCATCCCTGCAGTCACATGATCAAAAATTCAGGCGCTTGGCAACCAGCATCTATTTATGATGGTTGAAGCATCCCAGGGTCACGTGATCTGCATTTGTGACCTTCTCAGATGGCTTCCAACAAGCCAATTCCATGGGGGAAAGCCAGATTCGCTTAATGACTGTAGGATTCAATTAACTGGTAAGTCATTTACTTAACAACCATGGCCAAAATGGTCATAATATCAAATGTGACTCACTTAACAACTTCCTCACTTTAGCAACTGAGGTTCCGGCCCCATCTGTGGCCACTAGTCAAAGACTACCTATAAGACTTTATTCTTTCCTTGTCTAAGAAAATGTAATGCAACATTAAAAATTAAGGTGGATGTTCTTTATGATTCTTAAAAGTCAATTAACACAGTGCTAGACATAGCGTCTGTTGAATTTTTCGATTGCCCAAACAGAGACACAGTTCATCCACCCTTTTCAGTCTAATATTGAGAAAAGCAAGGTTTATAATTAGACAAGAAAAACCAAATGTATAAGTACAGGTTAGGCAAAACCTGGTGTGATGACCTGGGGCGTGTCGCAAAGGCAACACAGTCACATAAATAAGAAATGTCCCTTTAATACCTCCAACTTTGCTCCCAATGTCCAGGTTACCTTCAGCTGGAGAAAAAACTCTCCCAAGAACAGTCTTTAAGTGGAGGAAATTCAGTCCAAAAACAACATACATAAAAACTGTAAATAAAAATCCACACAAACCATGCTTGACAGGGCAGGAGAAGGAATTGCAGACTTGAAAGCACAGCCAAACACACACAGTTGGGAAGACACCAGAAACTCAGATAAGCCTCAACAATCCCAGATAATTCATAATTTGCTCTCAACAGTTTGCTGTGTGCAACTTCCCTTTATAAAAACTGTGTTCCCAAATGCAGCTAATGAAGGGAATCAGGGCCGTTTCCTCCCCATAAGCCACACAACTCAAATTGCTCCCTTCTCCATTCCTCCCTGAGTGCCCTAGGATGAAGAGGGAGTGGGCCTGGGTCTTCCTCTGAATTCCCCCTGCCTTGCTCTACCTCTCCTCAACTCTGCCCAGCCGGACTGTGCTCTTCCCCAGTTTCTTCCACCACCAACGGAGCCACACTCCCACTGCCTGTCAGCTGCTCAGCCTCCCCCTCCAAATCAGATTTTGACAGGGGCATGACACCTGGCTCAAAAACAGTAACTGTGAGAGAGACCTTGGAGTCGATGACTTAAACATGATCCAGCCATGTGCGGCAGCAGCCAAAAAAGCTAACACAATTCTTGGCTGTACAAACAGAGGCATAGAATCAAGATCACGTGAAGCTTTAGTACTGCTTTATAAAGCCTTAGTAAGGCCACACCTGGAACACTGCGTCCAGTTTTGGTCACCACTCTACAAAAAAGATGTGGAGAGTTTGGGAAAAGGGGCAGAGAAGAGCAACTAAGATGATTAAAGGCCTGGAGACCAAAACATACAAAGAACGGTTTCAGGAACTGGATATGTCTAGTCTACAGAAAAGAAGAACTAAGGGGGACAGGATAGCAGTCTTCCAGTATTTGAGAGGCTGCCACAAAGAGGAGAGAGGGTCAAGTTATTTTCCAAAGCCCCAGAGGGCAGGACAAGAAACAATGAATGGAAACTAATCAAGGAGAGAAGCAACCTGGAATTAAGGACAAACTTCCAAACAGGGAGGACAATTAACCAGTGGAATAACTGGCCTCCAGAAATCGTAGCCGCTCCATCACTGGAGGTTTTTAAGAAGAGACTGGACAGTTACTTGTCCCAATTGGTATAGGATCTCCTGTTTGAGCAGGGGGCTGGGCTAGAAGACCTCCCAGGTCCCTTCCAGCTCTATTCTGATTGATTGAGAGCTATGCTTTGAAAACAAAATTATCCTGTTTAAACTTCAGAAATTAAAGCAGTTGGGAGAGAATTTGAAAGAAGCCAAAGTATATTTGGAAAAAAAAGAAGAAGAAATGGGTTATTTCTGATTACAAAGGAACATTCTACATTTCTCCTTCGTAGCTTACTAGTTGACTGCTGCTTAGAAAAGTCTTCCACTTGTAACTACATATTTGCACGTTGTTTCCCTAGGAGTGATGTCCTGTTTTATTTTGAGCTGCATGACATATTAGTGTACAAAGGAACCAATTTCCCAAGGGCTGAACAAATTTAAAGAATAGTCTTTCAATTTGCTCTGTGTGATGAACAAAATCCTAGAATATACTGGTGGGGAAAATATGCTAAATATCAGGTGTAATTTTATGGCATTACACCATTGTGTAAGAAATGCTTTCTGTGATTTCTGGGCTGGAGGCCAGGGATTGTTTAATCATCAAGCAACTCCACCCGTAGTCAGGAAAACAAATTTCTGTCTTCGTGTTTCTGAACTGAATGCTTTGTATTCAATCACAGAATCATAAGGCTGAAAGGGGCCTTGGAGATCTTCTAGTCCAACCCTTTGTTTGAGCAGGAGACCCTATACCATCCCAGACAAAGTCAATCTCCTCTTCCCTGAGATAGCTCTTCAAGTACTGGACGATGACTATCATGTCCCTCCTAATTCTTCTCTTCAATAGGTTAGACCAGGGGCCTTCAAACTTGACAGCTTTAAGACTTGTGGACTTCAACTCCTAGAATTCCTCTTCCAGTCATGTTAGCTCACAAATTCTGGGAGTTGAAGTCTACAAGTCTTAAACTTGCCAAGTTTGAAGACCCTTGGGTTAGACATACTATATCTAGTTCCCTCAACCGTTCATCAGATGATTTAGCCTCCAGACCTCTTCTCATTTTTATTACTCTTCTCTGGACCCTTTCTAGAGTCTCAACATCTTTTTTTCATATCATGGTAACCAAAACTGGATGCAGTATTCCAAATGTGGCCTCACAAATACGTTATAAAATAGTACTATCACTTCTGGTGATCTTTAAGCTATCTCTCTGTTGATGTAGCTCAGAACTGCAGGGGCATTTAAGCAGCTGAAGCACACTACTGGCTCATATCCCTATCCCAGTTTACCTAGATCCCTCTCACATCAGTGAATCCCACTGAAGACACACTAGAAATTCACTGTAGGAGCAAGGCTAATTCACACATTCACTGGATGTCATGAACACATTCATCCACTTCCTTTTGTGAATGTATTGGACTACCAATCCCATGTAGAAATTAAGAAGTGGACAATCCTTGCTTGATAAGTAGCTCCTGGAGTAAACTTCGGTTTAGTCTATCCTACCACGGTGTCCTAAAGGTGCTTTTTTTCAAGAGGCAACTGACATTCTGGTTTTGCTTTGAAAACATTTCACTTCTCCTTGAAGAAGCTTCTTCAGCTCAGCTTCTTAGATGATGAAATGTTTTCAAAGAAAACCAGAAAATCCAGTTGCCTCTTGGGGGGGAAAAAACCCACTTTTGGGACAACCATGACCTGGAGGACTGAGAATCTCCATAGGCATTTATCCTACCACTAAGTTCTCAGGAGCTTCCTCATTTTCACATGAGATTCATTCACAGCCTTTCAAGGCAGCCCATTCAAAATCTTGATGGAGATCTCTTCCGCCCACCAGTAGGCCTCAGGAAGATGGGGAGAAGATATTTCAGACCTACCTGAAGGAGGTGGTGCCAAAAGGTGATAGAGATCCGTTCTTCTTTGGGCAACCCATGGACAGGCATGTTGCCCACTGAGATGCCAACGACATTTCCACCAAGGAGTGAGTTGGAATCATTATCCTGCAAAAAAGAAAGTTTGAAAACTATACATACATACATACATACATTCATACATACATACATACATACAGGGGTGGGATTCTACCAGTTCGGACCTATTCGCTAGAACAGGTTGTTAACATTCTAAGCAGTTCAGTGAACCGGTTGTTAGAAGAAATTACTGGCCTAATCCTGTAAGGAAGGCAGGAAGGAAACATTCTGGTGTTGCTTACAGAAACTGCCTCTCCCTTAACCCTTATTACATTCTTGGCAGGACTGGACTTCCTGTCTCTGGAACCTCTTTGGAGTTTTTTTCCCCTCCTTTGCTGGTACTTTGCTTGTGTGGAGCAACCATTCAAAGTTACAATGGCACTGGAAAAAGTGACTTATGACTGTTTTTCACAGTTACGACTGTTACAGCATCCCCACAGTCACGAGAGGCCATGTGAGGAGATGTGTGCCTTGATGTGAGTGATGTTGAGTTGGCCATGCCCAGCCAGTCACATGACCACCAAGCCATGCCCACCAACTAAGTCATGCCCACAGAACCGGTTGTTAAAAAATTTGAATCCCACCCCTGCATACATACATACATACAGTTGATTTCAACTGCACACTTTAGCATTAATTCAGGATGCATGTGATATGTTCCACAAAGACTTTTTCACATGTGCACTTTGACATAATCCATGGGCACTGTGTTCTACACTTTTTCCCCAAGCACTATGCAAGTCCCACAATTTGTTATTTTGGCAGAAATTTGCTGGACACTGAGGCTGAAAAACTTTGTCTCTTCTAATCTGCAATACGGTGGGCTTGCTCAGAGATTTTATCTTTGCAACAGTAGTAACTGTTGTTATTGCTTTTTTTTTTTTTTGCTCTTTATTTCATTCTTTTTGCAATTTTCCTACACGATGTGAAAAACAATAAAGGAAAACATTTTTGCAAGTATTTCTTGTTATGATGAAAGCTACAACACCTTCAGGACTTGAGCTCAACCCAAAGAAGACTTCACCTTCTGAGCAAGCATTTCTCAAACTGGGGTTCTTGCACAGCTGTTAACTTTGCAACAAAAGCTTCCCTAGGAACCTAATTTTGGTGATGCGTGTGAAAAAAACCTGCTCAGTTTCAGAAAGGATCTGAGGTTTCTATCTGACATAGAAAAAAGCATACTGCACAACTCGGAAGCAAACAGATTGCAGCCTGTGTTGCTAACATACCATAGTGCAGAGTCTGAAACTTTACGAGGAAATGTAAATCACATTATTTCAATGTAAATGAAATTTTCTCTGGTTTTAGGATGAAACGCGTATGTAGCCTTTTAATGCAGCTGTTTGCTTCTATTTGATGCAGAAAAGTTGAGACTGACTTGAAGGAACCTTCAGCTTTAAAGCCTCAAACACCTGCTCTGAACTTGCTTCGGACGTCAGCTGCTTTTGGCACAACACTCAGATGGAATAAATTTGTTGCCTACGTTCCCCCAAATCCTTCGCTTTTTAAATATGCAAAGGAATCAGCGTTGAGGGCAGCAAAATTGTCTCCCCCATCATTACCTGAAAGAGGGTCTCACTCGTGGCCGACACCACCACAACCTTCATCTCCCCACTCTCGACACCGTCTCTGGTTTTCTCAAAAACTTTTTTGGGCAGGTTAACTTTGAACTTATGGACGACTCTGTTCTCCTGCGGAAAGAAAACAAGCACAGCTTTACAAAAGAGAAGTTGTTGTTAGTTGTGAAGTCAACATGTGACCCCATGGACCATGTTCCTCCAGGCCTTCCTGTCCTCTACCATCCTCCGGAGTCCATTTAAGCTCAGGCCGACGGCTTCAGCGACTCCATCCAGCCCCCTCCTTCTCTGCCGTCCCCTTCTTCTTCTACTGCCTTCAATCCTTCCCAACTCTAACCCTGACCCCTAACCCTGGTTCTTTCTCTTTCAGCCCTGCCACATGTGGAAACAAGATGCTGCCCCGTAGAGGCATTGCATCCACTGGAGCCAGTAATTGGGTTTGGATCCAGCCTCCCCTGAAAGTCATTACTGCAACCAGAGTGGGGCAGAGCTTCCCAAGCCTGTCCACCATTAAACCATCTTTCCAAGCAGTCACCATGTTTCCCGGTGTCTTTCTTCCCCACTTGGAACTGAATCCAGAAAGCTATTTCTTCTCCAGCGAGTCCTTCCTTCTCATGAGGTGGCCAAAGTCTTTGAGTTTCATCTTCAGGATCTGGCCTTCTAAAGAGCAGTCAGGGTTGGTCTTCTCTTGCAATCCAAGGGACGCGCAGGAGTCTTCTCCAGTCTTCTCCAGCACCATAGCTCATTCAAAGGCCTCAATTCTTTGGCGCTCAGCCTTTCTTATGGTCCAACTTTCACAGCTCTTTCTCAAAGTGGAGTAGGAAACCTTATTTGTAGGGCAGAGAATTCGTAATGGTCCCCAACCCACCTAGATGTCTTTATTGTGCAAGAGAGAGATTTAAAATGCACTTGTTTTCAAGACACAGAGGGCAAATAATAAATAAGCCCCGAAATGCATTCAGGTTGTCTTGCAAACATGCTCTTTCAATTGCAAACTGGTGACAAAAAACAGGCAGTGCAAATATGCATCAGGAAAAGAGAAAACGGAGCAAAGTGGAATTTGACAGACATCATTTTGATGCTCGGCTCACCTTCAGCGTAACCTCAATGGGCAGGTTTTCAGGAATTTGCGGTGGGACTTTCTGGACATTTGCATGCATTATTGTCCCCTCAAAACTCTTTTGATCTCCCTGGAACTCCAATTCACCCAGCTTTGACTCCAACTGGTGCAGGAACCTGTTGAAGATGGGAGGAATGGATGTAGCTGGAAATATTTCACTCCAGACATCATGCCACAGATCTCCAGTTACTACTTCTTGGGTTTTTATTAACTCATCAGTGACCAAAATCACCCACTCCATGAAACCATCATATATCTGGGCTAACAGAGAAGGATGGACCCAGCTCTTGTGATTCATAAGCCACAGCTTAGCTTTCTGTGTGAATCTGGCTGTCAAGGCTTCGACCATTTGTGATTCAGGCAAACCATAATTTAACACAATGTGCAAATCACAGCTTCTTTGCTCTCAAGCCATCTCTGAATTTTCCAATCCATCCACATCTGTGCATTTGATTCATTGTGACTCCTATTTCAAACCTGGTTTTGATATCAGATAAGATAGAATATCTCTTCTTACTTTGCAATATACAGGCAGTCTTATGGTATGCTGGTAGTCCTTACTTACAGTCATTCATTTAGTGACCATTTGAAATCACAATGGCACTGAAAAAAGTGATTCATGACCATTTTCACTTAACACTTAACTTAGCTAACTCTTGTTTGCAATGAAAAGTTTGGATTCAGTCAGAATAGAATAGAATATAGAATCAGAATCAGAATCAGAATCAGAATCAGAATCAGAATAGAATAGAATAGAATAGAATAGAATAGAATAGAATAGAATAATGGAATATAGAAATAGAATAGAATAGAATAGAATAGAATAGAATAGAATAATGGAATATAGGAATAGAATAGAATAGAATAGAATAGAATAGAATAGAATAGAATAGAATAGAATAGAATAGAATTCTTTATTGGCCAAGTGTGATTGGAGACACAAAGAATTTGTCTTGATGCAAATGCTCTCATGCATAAAAGAAAAGATACATTTGTCAAGAGTCAAGAATCATCAGGTACCACACTTAATGATAGTCGCAGGATACAATAAGCAATCAAATCATAGTAGGAAACAGTCAATATAAATCGTAAGGATGCAATCGATGAAGTTACGGTCATACAGTCACCAGTGGGAGGGGATGGGTGATAAGGAGTGAAGAGAAGATTAATAGTAATAGTAGTGCAGACTTTGTAAATTAGTTGGACAGTATTGAGAGAATTATTTGTTTAGCAGAGAGATGGCGTTCAGGAAAAGACTGTTTTTGTGTCTAGTGCAGTGCTCTATAGAGCCATTTTGAGGGAAGGCGTTGAAACAGTTTATGTCCAGGATGTGAGGGGTCTATAAATATTTTCACAGCCCCCTTTTGACTCATGCAATATACTGGTCCTCAATGGAAGGCAGGTTGGTCGTAATTGTTTTTTCAGCAGTTGAGGGCTACCTGTGTTTATGACCATAACAGCCTGGAAATATGGTCATAAGTTCTGGTGGTCATTAAACATTGAGAATGCCTGATTTTATTGTTATTATTTTTTGTGGTGATCATTAAGTGAACATTGTAGTTGCTAAGCAAATTCTGCAGGTATAAAAACAACTCATGATACCCAATGTTTTCCCTGGATGATCATGTGACCACGGGGTGCTGCAAATGGCCAGAAATGCAGGCTGGGTTGCCAAGTACCCAAAATGCAATCATGCGACCACTGGGGTTGTTGGACCAATTAAATCCACTTTATACAATTTCAGGAATTAGATTAGAGGGCACAATTTAGTTTTACTGGATTTTTTTTTTTTAAAGAGGTGATTGAAGGAATTAATGGACTTGGGTTTGTGAAACAGAGGGGTTTTTTTTTAACAGATCCCTGTGGATTTCAAGAACCGCACTGAACTGCACTTTTCCTCCACCACAATCATTTTGTGTCTCACAACATACCCACACACACATGTCCAGATGCTATTTACAACACCCTTCAAATGCTAAGTACAGGTCTCCCTGAACTTATGACTATTCATTTAATGACTGTTCTAAGTTACAAACAGCTTTGGAAAAAGTGACTTAGGACTTGTACACACACTTACAACTGTTGCTCAACAGACAGACAGACACACACACACACCCCGCAATCATGTAATTGCAATTCAGGCAACTGGCTCACATATACAATCGGTTGCAATGTCTTAAAGTCACATGATTGCAATTTGCAATCTTTTTTTGGCTGATTTCTGACAAAAAAACCCGCAGCCATTGTGAAATTGGATTGGTTCAACAAGCCAATTTTCTTAATGTGATTTGCTTAATGACCATCATAAAAAAATGTTGTAAAATTGGGTCTGACTTAACTTATCATTGCAATGCCTTACAATGGAAATTCTGTTCCCAATTGTGATCATAACTCAAGGTTTATGTTCCAAGTAACAACTCCATAGAAAGCAGAATTTTGAGGTAGACAGATTCCTCAAAGAACAGTTTTATTGGAGATATATTGGCACAAATTGGTGAAAACTGACTCTAGAAGTTCCCACAGTTTTCACCTGATTAACAGTGAAAGTTTCCTCCTTTCCCCAAACAATCAGTCACATTGTCCAATCAAGGTGCAGGCAGGTTGCCTGGTTACTTCACCCCTCCTTCCTCCAACCACCCGTTGGAATGTCCTTGGTTCCCACAGGAAACTATTTTGACTACAAACAGGGGTGGGATTCAAATTTTGTAACAACCGGATCTGTGGGCGTGGCTTAGTTGGTGGGCGTGGCTTGGTGGTCATGTGACTGGGTGGATGTGGCTTGGTGGTCATGTTATTGGCTGGGCATGGCCAACTCAATATCACTCACATTGAGGCACACAAGCAAAGAACCAGCAAAAGAGGGGGGAAAAACTCCAGAGAAGTTCCAGAGACACAAAGTCTAATCCTGCTAAGAATGTAATCAGGGTTAACGGAGAGGCAGTGTCTGCAAGCAACACCAGAATGTTTCCTTCCTGCCTTCCTTACAGGATTAGGCCAGTAATTTCTTCAAACAACTGGGTCTCTGAACTGTTTAGAATGTTAACAACTGGTTCTAGCGAATAGGTGCAAACTGGTAGAATCCCACCCCTGACTACAAACCCCGCTCCTTCCATCTAATTATGCTCTCCCCACTTATCCTCTATTCGCATTGTGACAACCCTGAAGCCTCCAACATGGCCCCAGCCAAGTTTGCTTCAGAATTGATAGGCTAGCCGTAAATGCTAATCACACAATTTGGAAGATTCCGGGTCTCAGATGCAGACAAGATTTGTGCAAAGAGCACCTCCAATCACTTGCCCAACTAGACCTGTGTGCAAGACTTGTGCAAAGAGTCCCTTCAACCATCCTGCTCCAACTCACTCCTTTTTGCAGCCAATACACAGTGCTAACTTGATTAATATAAATGAATAGGAATGCAGATTGGTTGCCAAATACTCACAAAAACGGATCTTCCGGAGGCCCGTTCTCGTCACTGCTATGATGTGTTTCTAAACTCTTGAGTTTTAACTCTGTTCGTCTCATTTCTTCTTCCACGTTGCTGATTTGAACCATTTCCTTCTGGTCTCTCTTCCCAAGATCTATGGAGCAAAGCAAAGTAAAATAAAAGGGCCTCGATGATTGGCTATTCCTGGGACAACCCACCATAGCCAACTCACCATAGGATAATTTGTCTTGGCCAATTTGTCCGGAGAAAACTTGCTGCAGGACAATTCAACCATTTTATTTCATTATTTAATATTATTAAGAAATTATTTTAATTTTCATCATTCGCGTTTCATTGTGTCCTTCCTTTTGCAAATCTTTTATTTCATGATTCTATTTCACCATGTCTTCAGTTTCATGTAATTTTTGCCCCGTGGCAACTTATCCCATGGCGAGTTGGCCATGGTAAGCCAGCTGTGGCAAGTTGGCCATATTGCAAATTGGCAGTAGTAAATTGGCTGTCTTATTCCTGTTTCTGCTAGGTGGATGTGGTGGTCCGCCGGCAGCCTGTGGAGATGGCAGCAGAATTGGACAGTGGGGAAGAACATGGGCCAGTCTGGGAGTCTGGGGAGGACTCAGATACAGAGATGGGGCCAGGGCCATCTGGGAGTTATGTGCTGACTCCAGAACCTCCAGAATCTGACAGCAGTGAGGAAGAGGAACAAAGGGAGCCTGTTCCCAGTGCGCACTTGTGCAGAGCTGCCAGAAGACAAGAGCAGCTAAGACAAAAGGGGTGACTCAGGAGTAAGGCTTGGAGATGATTGGCCCCTCCCATAAGTCATAAAGGAGGAGCAAAGGGACTTGAGCCTTTGCAGGAAGCAACTTTGTTTGTTCTGGTCGGTTTAAAATCTGAAGCGCCATGTTGACTTTGTGCTCCATTTGGCTTTTGTACAGCTAATTGGCAATTTAGTTGCTGGCAGCATTTCAAGGGAGATAAAAGTGGGTGCTTATCAGACTTCTCCCGAAGAATTTTGGCAGATGTCCCTGGGAATAATTATAACTGGTTGAGACTCATTACGGGCTGTGAATGATGATAATTCACAGCCGTTGAACTAAAATAAAAGGGTTTTGGATTTAATGTGTGTGTGTTGGTGTCTCAGAAAGCCTTGGTCAGAATAGTGGAATTAAAACTTTCTGATGCCATGTTTGTTTCCTGAAACGGTAGAAAATGGCATTGGCTAAAAAAAAAAAATTCAACATCTTAACAGCTGTTGGTTGTTTTTGTTTTAATAACAGTTCTAATTCCCAGGATTGCATTCTGCAGTGTCTGATAAAATATTTAACCCCGACTCTGACCAGGGCAGAATAAACGATGCAAATGTTAGAGATTTTTCTACCGTTTTGACCATTTGTTCCAATATGCTTCTCTGGATGCACAGTAGACACAAGAGGCTACGCAATCTATTATTTTTATTTATTTATTATGAGCCTGAGTGGCTACTGTGAGATTGGCAGCCATAAAAATCCAACAAGCCAGCAACAAGCTCTGGGAGCTGCGTTCACACAACCTACACACAACAAATTAAATGGGCTTTTTTTTTTAACCTGTGAAAATAATACAAGTTTTCTACAGCCAAGTAACGCTAACCCTCAACTTACGACCACAACTGAGCCCTAGATTTCTGTTGCTAAGTGAGGCAGTTGTTGTTTATGATCTTCCTTGCCAATTTGTTAAGTGAATCCCTGCCATTGTTAAGTTAATAACGTAGTTGTTAAGCGAGTCGGGCTCCCCCATTGCTTGTCGGAAGGTCGCAAAAGGGGATCCCATGGCCTCGGGATACGGGGACCGTCATAAATATGAGTCTGTTCCCAATTTTGATCACAGGGCATGAGGATGCTGCAATGATCATAAGTGCGAAAAATGGCCACAGGTCACTTCTTTCAGTGGTGTTGTAACTTCCAACGTGTTCTGTCCTAGACTTCTCCAAGAAGCACTAAGTCAACTCTGAGTCCCGGCAAAGCCTCTTTTATTAAATGAATGTGAATTTATTGCATTCACATTCAGCCAATGGCTTGGCAAACAGTCTTGCAAAGGTATAATTATTAGCTCAGACCTCCATCAATCCTGGAACGCTGCCCGGTAAATAGTTCCACACTCAGTGCTGACAGGGAAGGGCTGGGTTATACAGACAAATCTTAACGGGGGCTGGAACGAACGGGCAACCAAACAAGTGAGTTGTTTCCAGCAAAAGCCCCCTCCCCTTTTGCTTCTCTTTTAATCCTGATGGGAGGGGCCATTCATCATCCACCTGTGGCCTTACTCCCACGTCAACCCTGAGTTCTTAATTGTGCCCTTTTTGGGGGCAGCTCTGCACATGAATAGGCTGGGAACCGATTCCCGAAGCTCCCCTGTCTTACTGCTGTCCAAGTCCAAAGGTAGCTGATGACTGCCAAACTGCCTCTGCCTCTGACACAGAGCCCTCATTCGAGTCTTCCTCAGCCTCCAGGAATGGCCTGGGTTCCTCCCCAACCTCCTCACTACTGTCCAACTCTTTTGCCAGCTCCGTCAGCCACCAGCGGGCCACAACTCAATGGTCACTAAGCGAACTTCTGTAAGTCGAGGATTACCTGTAATGTTCAACAGCGAAGGCAAATGTTACTTTCCCTTTCCAGGGTTCATCCCGTTCTGATACAACTTACCGAACTTGCATTCCGTCATGCTCGGAAGGGAGTAATTGACAGAGCCGTTGTTGAAGGCGTAAGAGACATTGTTGAGTAAATCAGGCCCATCTCTGCTCCCCTGACAGGTGTAACTTAGAGAGGAGAATGAATAATTAGCTTGGTTACTCAGCTGGTAAGTATGACTGATGCCATAGGTAAGATTGAACAGATGGTCATCCTGAAACCAGTAAACACAGAAGCGGTAAATCCCCAACAGTGTAGGCAAGGCCCAGGACTGCTGAGGTCCCGGCGGGAATGGGGCACTGATATTAAGTCCGTCGGCGCCATTGGAGATAGTGATGGCATCTTGCTGGATTTCATAACGGACATGGCCTTCAGCCATTTGCCTTCGGTCAGCACAGAAGCGGAAGTTCTCCTTGTAGCTGCTCATCCCATGCATGCCTGGACCGCACCCCAAAAAAGAAGAAAAGGAAAAAGATTTAGGATCCGAGGGATCTACCCTAAGATCTACGAGGTTTTGCACTTAAGGCTATGAAAACAGAGAAGCATAGAAAATACTGAGAGAAATGCTATGGTTAGACCTCCACTTACAACCAATTCTTTAGTTCAACTGCGCTGAAAAAAAAATTGATTTGCACCGATCCTCACACTTACAACTAGTCTAGCATCCCCACGGTCAAAGAGTCAAATTCAGGGTGTTTGGCAACCAGCATGCACTTACAATGATTGGAAGGGACCTTAGAGGTCTTCTAGTCCAATCCCTTGCTCAAGCAGGAGGCCCAATATCATTTCAAATAGAAGATTGTCCAGTCTCTTTTTGAAAGCTTCCAGTGATGGAGCAACCACAACTCTGAAGACAATCATTCCGCCGGTTGATTGTTCTCACTGTTAGGAAATCTCTCCCTAGTTCTAGATTGCTTTTCTCCTTGCTTGGTTTCTATCCGTTGTTTCTCATCTTGCCTTTTGGTGGTTTGGAAAATAGTTTGTCCCACTTGTCTTTGTAAGTAAAGGTTAAAGGTTCCCCTTGCACATCCGTGCTAATTGTTTCCAGCTCCAGGGGACGGTGCTCCTCTCCGTTACGAAGTCAAAGAGCCAGTGCTGTCTGAAGACGTCTCCGTGGTCATGTGGCCGTCATGACTAAACGCCGAAGGTGCACCGAACACTGTTCCCTTCCCACCAAAGGGGTCCCTATTTTTCTACTTGCATTTTTTTTTTACATGCTATCGAACTGCTAGGTTGGCAGAAGCTGGGACAAGTAATGGGAGCTCACTCTGTTACACGGTGCTAGGGATTTGAACCACCAAACTGTCTTAGCCACTGAGCCACCATGTCCTTCTATTTATTTATAGACAATATATCTATTTACCTTGTCTTTGTAAGAGCCCCTCAAATATTGGAACACTGCTATCATGTCTTACCTAGACGTTCTTTTCATTGGAATGGAATGGAATGGAATGGAATGGAATGGAATGGAATGGAATAGAATAGAATAGAATAGAACAGAACAGAACAGAACAGAACAGAACAGAACAGAACAGAATAGAATAGAATAGAATAGAATAGAATACCTTTATTGTCATTACATTCTACAAATACCATGTTTCTCCAACAATATGGCCTCCACCAATAGGAAAGCCCAGCATGATTTCTAGGCATGAGGTAAAATTAAGCCCTGCCCCCAAAATTTAGGCCTATTCAAACCAGGCACTTCCCCGCCATTTCTCACAACGTTCGTTAGAACTACGCGAGGTGAAGATAAATGGGGGGGAAGGCGGGGATGGGGGTGGGGAGAAAACTTGCCTTTAGGAGTGCCCTGCAGGTAGACTAGGCTAGAATACCCCGATCTACCAATAGAACATCAGCTGATAGAAGCTCCCCGAAGGCAGAGTCCCCAGCCACTTCAGGGCGTGGCGTGGCTGCCCATGTCCCCTCGCCTTTAGGCAGTCTCTTTCGGGCGATGGAAGCTCCCCAAGTGCAGTCACCAGCCACTTTGATCGGCTGGTAGAAGCGACCTCGGGGCGAGCGCACACACACACTCCCCTCGCCGTGAGGCCACTTCTATCGGCCGACGAAAGCTCCCTTGAAGGCAGAATCCCCAGCCACTTCTGGGCGTGGCGTGGCTGCCCATGTCCCCTCGCTTTTAGGCAGTCTCTTTCAGGCGACGGGAACTCCCCAAGTGCAGTCACCAACCACTTCGATCGGCCGATAGAAGCGGCCTCGTGGCGAGGGGAGTGTGTGCGCGCTCGCCTTGAAGCCGCTTCTACCGGCAGATCCAAGTAGCTGGTGACTGCACTTGGGGAGCTTCCATCGCCCAAAAAAGACTGCCTAAAGGCGAGGGGACATGGGTAGCCATGCCACGTCCTGAAGAGGCTGGGGACTCTGCCTTTGGGGAGCTTTCGTCAGCCCATAGAAGCGGCCTCGTGGCGAGGGGAGTGAGTGTGTGCACACACCCCGAGGCTGCTTCTACCGGCCGATTGAAGTGGCTGGTGACTGCACTTGGGGAGCTTCCATCACCCGAAAGAGATTGCCTAAAGGCGAGGGGACACGGGCAGCCCCGCCATGCCCTGAAGCAGCTGGGGACTCTGCCTTCAGGGAGCTTTCATCGGCCCATAGAAGCAGCCTCACGGCGAGGTATTTGCGTATGAGCCGCTCTAGGTGGGGGAGGAAATTAAGTCACCCCCCAAAGAGATGGCCTAGCCGTTTTTTCAGGGGACAAAAATAAATAAGGCCTGGCCTTATTTTGTGAGAAACACGGTACAATGAAATTTGAAAGCTACTCCAGCACAGTGTCCCAAACACCACATCACAATCACACTACACAGTATTTAAAAATTAAAATAATTAAAATAATAATTAAAAACCTAGTCTAAAACCTATCTAAAACATATAGTAAGTTAGATAGTTTAAAAATGCCACTATATATGTAGGGCTAAATCACATATGCATTGTTTGATTCAAGACAATTATTGCCTTGGGAAAGAAATTGTTTCTCAGTCTATTAGTCCTCATTTTAAGACACCTATAATGCCTCCCTGATAGTTCAAAATATGAATGTCCAGGATGAGAATGTTCTATGGAGATATTTAGTGCTCTAGAGAGGAGTCTGGTCTTCGCAATCTCTTCCAAAGAAGAATGAGAGCAACGAATGATTTTTTGTGCTGTGTTTATAACTCTCTGGAGCATCTTCTTATCCACTACAGAGCATCCAGCATACTACACCGTTACACAGTATGCCAAAATGCTCTCGATGGTAGAACGGTAAAAAGTAACCAGCAACTTCTCACCCAGACCACTCTTTTTCTTTTTTTTCCTTTTTTAAATAGATTTTATTGAATTTACAATTTAAAAACACATCGACAATACATTTACAAAATAGAAAGAAAAACGGCTAGGGGGAAAGAAGGAAAACACCCGGCCTAACACACCGGATAAAGGCTGGTTGGGGGGAAGAGAAAAGATATAGAGGAAGAGAAGGGAAGGGAAGGGGAGGGAGAATAGGGTAGAAAATACAATTAAAAACAAATGATATCTTTTTGTGACAGTCTGTAAGGATCATTTCTCTTTTTCAGCAGCCTCAGAAAGTGCAGGCGCTGTTGGGCATTCTTTGCAGTGGCCATAGTGTGGACTGACCATGTAAGGTCAGAAATATGAGTTCCTAGAAATTTAAAACTATGAACTCTTTCCACACAGTCTCCATTGATATATAGTGGGAGAGGCTCTGCTTTGCGTCTTCTGAAGTCTATAATCAATTCTTTGGTCTTTTTGATGTTCAGAGCAAGGTTATGACTTTTGTACCACAAGACCAGTTTGAGAACCTCTGACCTACAGGCCGTCTCGTCTTCTCCTCATATGAGTCCCACCAACGTGGTGTCGTTTGCAAATTTTATTATAGAGTTAGTGGGGCAAGAGGGAGTGCAGTCGTAGGTGTAGAGTGAATACAAAAGGGGGCTCAGCACACAACCCTGTGGAGAGCCAGTGCTGAGAGCAAGAGTGGAGGGAAAATAGCTGCCAATCCTAACAGATTGGGGTCTGTTAGTAAGAAAGTCCTTTATCCAACAGCAGATGTGAGAGGAGAGGCCCATTTCCAGCAACTTTTTAATCAGTATATCTGGAATGATGGTATTAAAAGCCGAGCTGTAATCAACTAAAAGCATCCTTACATAGCTCCCACTATGCTCCGGATGGTTCAGTGCAACGTGGAGAGCCATGGCGATAGCCTCCTCTGTGGATCTGTTATTCCTACAGGCAAACTGGTATGGGTCAAAGTTTGATGGGAGGCAATCCTGTATATATTTTAAGACCAGTCTTTCTAAACACTTCATAATTATGGGTGTGAGAGCTACTGGTCTATAGTCATTTAGAGTATCAGGAGAGGGCTTTTGGGGAACTGGAATAATAATGGAAGCTTTGAGACAAGATGGAACAATGGCTTGTGTAAGAGAAAGGTTAAAAATATTTGTAAACACGCCTGCGAGCTGGTTAGCACACGCTTTGAGTACCTTCCCAGTACCTTCCATTAGACCAGACATACCCAATTCCTGTAACTGTTCTTGGTATGTTTTAGCCTCCAATCCACTAATTATTCTTGTTGCTCTCCTCTGCAATCTTACAGGAGCTTCTAACACTATAGATTAATACCAAAGGTATTGTAAGGGACCAAGATGGTTCAAAATAATACAGGTTAATTGCAATCCTAACACATTCTACAAGAATCTGAACTGCTAACAGTCAAAGCAAATTGGTGGTAGAGAAGAATCAACAGAATTCAAGGAGGGCATGAAGGGACTCCAGACTGATGATGTGTTTGACCCCTCCCTCAAGCTCAGCCTAGTCATCTCTAACAGATATTTTCCCACTATTAACTCTATTCCTTCACCCATCACCTGCAAAGGCATTAACCATACATGATGGGACTTGTAGTCCAAAGAAACTGGGAGTTACCAGGTGTGAAAAGAACGGTGTATGTCATGATAAATTCACCATAGAAGAGATGAGGTAAGAGATTACCATTCTCCATGAATGGAGAAAATAAAATTAAGTGTTTATGTTACCTTGGAGTTGGAAAAAGGCAGAAAGAAGGTAGAAGAGCATCCTGGGAGATCTGGTCTTGGATTGACGGATCTAGCAGAGGGTTAACGTGGCAACTGTGATCTTCTACAAGACTCTCTTCTTGAAAATGTGGGCCTTCTGGGAGCATCTGCAATCCTGGAATTAAAATCCCATCACAGCGTTTCTGCAAAAGAATGGTTCAAAATGGAAGATCTTGTCAATTATTTTCATGGCTTTCAATTGGGTCACCCATGGGATACTACAAATGGTCATAATTGACTTGTGTTGCTGAGTGCCCATAAGGTGGTCACATGATCATAGGGGGGAACCATCAGCACTTCCAATCTGGGTCGTAACTTTCTTTTTTGGCTCGTTCGTAATTTTGAATAGAATTAGAATAGAATTCTTTATTGGCCAAGTGTGATCGGACATACAAGGAATTTGTCTTTGGTGCAAATGCTCTCAGTGTACATAAGATACATTCATCAAGAGTCAAGAATCTTAAGGTACAACACTTCATAATAGTCATAGGGTACAAATAAGCCATCAAATCATACTAGGAAACAGTCAATATAAATCCTAAGGATACAAGCGACAAAGTTACAGTCATACAGCCACAAGTGGGAGGGGATGGGGGATAAAGAGTGATGAGAAGATTAATAGTAATAGTAGTGCAGCCTTTGTAAATAGTTGGAAAATGTTGAGGGAATTATTTGTTTAGCAGAGTGATGGCATTCGGGGGAAAACTGTCATTGTGTCTAGTTGTTCTGCTGTGCAGTGCTCTATAGCATCATTTTGAGGGAAGGAGTTGAAACAGTTTATGTCCGGGATGTGAGGGATCTGTAAGTATTTTCACAGCCCCCTTTTTGATTCGTGCAGTATACAGGTCCTCGATGGAAGGCAGGTTGGTAGCAATTGTTTTTTCTGCAGAAACGTTGCTAACAGACCAGTTGGGAGTCAAGGACCCCCGTATCTTTATATTTTATTTCAGCCCAGAACTTGAGCAGGTAAGATTACATTTCATAAACTTCAGTTCGTAACTTTTGTTTTTCCGTAGGTGAAGAGCTGACAAACTTGGGGTTGGAATGAAAAGGGGGACTCAGCCTAGCATCTTTACGTAGTCACAAGCAAACTAAGTCCAGCACCCCTTGAGTGCCATTGGCCCTTATCTTAACCAGGTTTCCACCGTTACTGGAGAAGATTCCTGTTCCATAGGCTTTAGCAATAAATCAGTCTAATAATTGAACCTTCACGTGTGGACCTGGTCTTTGGCGCCTGACATTTTCTCTTCTTTCTTCTTTTTCTTTTTTCTGGATTAAAATTCGAAGCTCGTTTCAAAACAAAATAATATATTCCAGACCACTTCCAAATAAGGCTGTTTAACTGCTGTTAGCTGATGCAGCACAGACTAAATTGTAGCCAGCAGCCCAGCCCAATCCACCAGCGTTTCTCCTTCTCTCCATGGCATCACCATTGAAATGTTGGCAAAAAAGGGTCAGAACCAAGGCTCAGTCCCCGTCCCCCCTCCAAGAAGTAAGGGGCTCTCTTTGCATATAAACCTGCATAAAATCTGCACCAGAATTCTTGCATCAAAATGAGCTGGAGACGCCCCTGTATTTTATTTTATTTTTTTAAGGCAAGGAAACAGGCAACATGAAATCTTCAGTACCCAGCCTCTGATGTGTGGCAAGAGGGCTAATGCAAACCACAGGTTTCTTTTTAACAACTCAAACGCCAAAAACAAAAACGGTTTCCCCATTTGGGGCCTGAGTCAGTCGTGCACAGAATGACCACCCGGGTCCAAATGAAGTTGCGCAGTTTAAGCAGAAACAGACAAAGGAACCGTTTCCAGGCATTGTTATTCATCTTTCTCTCCTTCCCCAGCGAGACAAGGAAGGTTTGCACTAAGTGCAACGAAATCCTTCTAAAGCAGCTCAATTTGGAGACAATTAAAATCTGAAATGAACCAGGACAAAGACAGCACGCCAGACAGAAGTCATAGGCAAACTGGGTTTCATGTGTTTTGGATGGGAAAAAGAAACAACAAAAAAGGATTTTCCAGCCCCCAAAAGTGAAGAATTGCACTCCATTTTTCCCCCCATCTGTCTCGTTGTTCATCCTGATACACAATTCTATTTTCTGTGCAGAGAAGCAGGAATGGTGTAATAGTCAAGGCATAAGGCTAGAAAACAGGAGACAGACAATTCCAGTTCTGCCTTAGGCATGAAAGCCAATTGGGTGACTTTGGGCCCATCACCAGGAGACAGTGAGTTCTAGTTCCCCCCCTTAGGCAAGAAATCCGGCTGGGTGACCTTCAGCCAGTCCCTCTCTTTCAATCCAAGCCACCCCACACGATTGTTCTTGGGAGGAAAGTAGGAGGAGGAAGGAGTATCAGGTGCGTTCACTGCCTTGAGCCAGATTCACTTAACAACCGGGTGACTAATTTCACAACTGCAGTGATTCACTTAGCCAACGGGGCAAGCAAAGTTGTAAAATGGGGCAAAGCAAATCCCTCACTTAACAACATAACATTTGGGCTCAATTGTGGTCGTAAGTCGAGGACTACCTGCAATTTCCCCCCTCCCCCACATATTCACCTCCCACTTCTCCAAGCCTTGGGCCCAAGAGATCATTGCAACTATGCTAAGAGGCCGGTCCTGTGTCCTCCTTGAAACACACCCAGCTTCCCGTGGGAAAGAAACCCAAGGAATGTGTGGGAGAACAAAGCAGATAACCAGCAGTTAGCACATCTCAAGACTGGGATATTTATTTCTGAGCAGCAAATTACAAACTGTTTCTTCGTCAGCTGAACTGCAGGGTCTGTTTTCCTAAATATAGTTTTACACCTAAAAGAAAAGCAGAAAGCTGTAGGGAAACCCAACGGGGATATTTCCGAATAACTGGAAACGATTAGAATCAAGACACAAACAAAATCTAAAAGGCAGATTTAGAAGTTAAGATAAAAGGTTAGAGCCAGTCAGGAATGAATGAGATTTACTGGAAGATATTTCAACCAGAATAGGTTTCCCACTTTGACTCAAACGGTTGCAGTTTTATAGTTTTATTTAGCATTTTATGATGTGTTACCTGTGTTTATTTATTTGTTTATCAAATGTCTATTATGCCCATCACACTTGCATGACTCTGGCAGTTTATAAATAAAACAGTAAAAACATATAAACATTCTTAAAGATCTATCTCATCCTTAGCAGCCTCCTTTTTTTTTTTTTGAACTATTACCGTCTGGCAGACAGACGATAAAAAGAAGGACAAATAGGCTGAAAAACAGCTTCTACCCCACAGCAGTAATTATATTGAATTCTACTGTATAGTTCAATATTAATGCAATATCAGGGGTTTTCAATACAATTGTATAGAATGTGAAGGGTGTATGTTTTTGTTTTATTTTATTTTTATGTATAATGTACACTGAAGATGGCATTTAATTTCATTGTATGAGGTGCGATGACAATAAAGTAAAGTAACTAACTAAACACCATTGTTAAAAACAAAGTAAAAAAAACAGATTAAAACAGAGTTATTTATCTTCTTTATAAAATATATTGGTCGGCTATCTTATCACAGACTTCAAAAAGGACAATTGCAATGTTAAAAAAATACTAACATTCTTGAGATTTATCCTTGCTAGAGATTCTAATTTAGTTTTCCAGAGCAATATATTGAATTATTCATAATTAACCAATGGCATGCTGGAAAACGATAACTTCCTAGACATTTTTAACCTGTTTGGTTAACTTATTTTATGTGTTACTTGTTTAATCCCTCTGTGGGATTAATTTGTGCTGTTTATGAGTCGTCTGTAAAATGTTAAATGTGGCATTTTTCATTCTTGACAGCTTGAAGATGTGTGGGCTTGTTGAATCCCACACAGCTTCAAGCTGACAAGGTGAGAAAAGAAAGAAGAAAGCACACCAACAGCAGCTCAGCAATGGAGCTAGAACATGGAATCTAGAATAAAAAGGTTGAAAGAAGAGGTCTTTTAGTCCCACAGCCTGCTTGAGAAGAAGGCATACCATTTCAGACAGGGGTGGGATTCAAATTTTTAACAACCGGTTCTGTGGACGTGGCTTAGGTGGTGGTCATGGCTTGGTGGTCATGTTATTGGCTGGGTATGGCCAACTCAATATCGCTCACATCTAGGCACGCATCTCCTCGCCTGGCCTCTCATGACTGTGGGGATGCTGCAACAGTCGTAAGTGTGAAAAACGGTCATGTCACTTTTTTCAGTGCCATTGTAACTTTGAATGGTCACTCCACACAAGCAAAGTACCAGCAAAGGAGGGGAAAAAAACTCCAGAGAATTCCAGAGACAGGAAGTCTAGTCCTGCCAAGAATGTAATAAGAGTTAACGGAGAGGCAGTTTCTGTAAGCAACACCAGAATGTTTCCTTCCTGCCTTCCTTACAGGATTTAGGCCAGTAATTTCTTCTAACAACCGGTTCTCCAAACTGCTTAGGATGTTAACAACCGGTTCTAGGGAATAGGTGCGAACCTGTAGAATCCCACCCCTGATTTCAGACAAATAGTTATCTGGTTTCTTCTTAAAAACTTCTGGTGTTGGAGCATTCACAGCTTCTGGAAGCAAGCCGTTCCACGGATTAATTGTTCTCACTGTCAGGAAATTTCTCCTTCATTCTAGGTTGGATTTCTCCTTGATAAGTTTGCAATCTGTTACTTCTTGTCCTGCCCTCAGGTACTTTGGAGAATAGGTTGAGCCCCTCTTCTCTGTGACAGCCCCTCATGTACTGGAACACAGCTGTCAACATGTCCCCTCTAATACTTCCCAGCTATTGACTGAATTTCTGTGAAAGCTACAGTCTATCATAGAAGAAAACCCCAATCGCATCACCCTAGTTCTTCTCTTCCATAGGCTAAACATATCTAGTTCCCTTAGCCCAGGGGTCCCCAAACATGGCAACTTTAAGACTTGTGGACTTCAACTCCCAGAATTCCTCAGCCAGCTGGCTGGAGAATTCTGGGAGTTGAAGTCCACAAGTCTTAATGTTGCCAAGTTTGCAGACCTCTGCCTTAGCTGTTCATCCGGGGGGGGAGGGGGGATTCTACCGGTTCAGACCGGTTCAGTCGAACCGGATGTTAAGTTTTCATCTGGTTCACCGAACTGGTATTTCAACCGACTGGCTGGCCTGGCCCCGCCCCTCCCACC